ATAATTGTGGCTACTGCCCTTTGTTTTAACCTTGGTAATCTATGTTCAGTCGTCAAGGATTCTTTTGAACTTTTAGCGAAATGGCGCTAATTGTCATCACCGTTGTCTAACTGAAGTGCTGTGATAACAGAAATTAGTTTTGGTCGTTAGGTTTGTATGCCTAATGAAACGGGCATCGTGCAGCGTGCGTTTCCCTTGGTCGTTTTTTTCTTCCAGGGGTGCGCACCCGAAGAATTTCTTCAAACGCCTTAAATAAAATAACGACCGGTACCAGTCAATCCTTTGTTCGTAAGTCTGTAAGCAACCTCGTAAATTGGAATATCTGCTGACTCTAAAATGACTCAGTAACTGCTGACAAAGATTTTAGATAAGGGTCACAAATGATCTAAAATCAATGAAAGCAGATCTCCCGATGTGTCCTTCACGAATTAACTCAAGTTAAGATGCCAGCTTGAGAGTAAATCACCGCAAGAGTTGGTTCCAAGTCGGTTAAGCAGGTCAAGCGTAGATCATCCCTCCCAGCAACAACAAAAAGAAGAATTTCTGTTTTTCAACTTCCTCCTTTTTTTGGGTTAAGCATGAGGTTATTAAATTGAACGCCGCGTGAAATTAAGCATAAGGTTGACCATTTTCACGCGAGTTTGCTTCCGACAAAAGATCAGATAAGTCCAAAAGTGGAAACAAAAAACAATTAAAGTTTCATGAAAGTACCTCATGTTGAAAAAACGCAAGAGCGCAAAGCATGAAGCGGAAAGGAGCTGATTAAAAAATTATTCCTTTCAGTCAGGGCGTATGGGCCGTGAAGTGAAAATCATTTCCACAAACAATGGCAACAGTGAAAGACGAGAAATATTCACCTCAGTCGCTAGAGTGCCCCATCTGCAAGAATATCTTCAACGACCCAAAGATCTTATCATGTCTTCACTCGTTTTGTCGCAAGTGCCTGGAGAGTTACGATGTGATCGGCGCGGGCACCAACTCAATCGTTTGTCCCCTCTGTCGAAAGCTGACTGCCATTCCGGTGGGGGGAGCCCAGATTCTGCCCAGCAACTTTCTGCTAACAAACGCACTGGATCACTTGTCCGTAAAATCAAGCAAGGAGTATACACTACACTGCACAAACTGCGAGGACGAAGCGGCGGCGACGTCTCGATGCTTGGATTGCGCCGAGTTTCTGTGCTCGAACTGCGTTTTGGCTCACCGACGGATACGAGTAACCAAGGACCATCGTATCCTGTCGCTTGACACGCTTCAGGCCGATAAACAGACGCTTCATCGTCCTTCCTTCTGTACTCAGCATGCAGACGAGATGTTCATGTTTTATTGCGTGCCCTGTGACTGCTTGATCTGCCGCGAATGCACGATTCTTGACCATCGTGGACATAAGTATGCAGGTAAGGCCTTAAAAGCAAGAATAGTCAAACTTTTTAGAACCGTATATAGCGCGTAAAGATCAGGTGCTTAAGATATCGATATGGTTTCGAATGTAGCCGATAAGCGTACGAGTACCATTGATGAAAAAGATCAATAAAAAAACACTACGTAATTCTCTGTCACGGCGAACAGGACTCCGCCAATGAAAAAAGATGAGACTGGTGTTTATATACGAGCGATAATTTTTCCTCTTGCTGGCCGATACAATAAAATTCAAAGGCATAAAATTCCAACTTAAAAAGAATGTTATCCTTCATCTCCGTTTGGCACTGATTTTTTCAGCTTGCATGGCCCTGCGCGAGTAGAAATCCAGTGGAAAGAGACTTCAACTGAGTGATCTGCTCTCACTAGCTGTCCATATAGTGAACTGTCATTTTTTCAGCAAAAGCATTTTTCTCTTATTACCACACAAAATACTAAGCTGGTTTCAAGGAGCAAAAAACACTAAGCTTGCTTTGAGACAAGGTAATGATAAAAGCATTGCAAGCTATAAAGAATAATGCATTTTTGGCGGAGAAAATTTGCAGAGACTGGGAAAAAAATGATGAAGCTTGTCATGCACTTTTCTACTATGGTTTGTTGTCAAATGTTCACGTAAAGAGAGAAAGTTCAAGCAGTACAGAGGTGGACCAGTTATTAACTCTAGACTCAAGAGAGATTCAAAAAACAAGCAAACAGAATTTCCTCTTTTTTAACCGTTCACCACTAGATCGTAGGTTTGCCGTTCATGTGAAAAGGAAATCATGTTTAACATTTTTTACGAAGAGATTTCATTATAAAATCTATTTAATCACCTAAGAAAAAAAATTAAGATAGATGTGCATTTTGGCGACTTGTGCTACATTTCAAGACTGGAATCTGCTTTAGGGCTTGAAGGCGCGGGATTCGAAGTGCTTTTAAGTTAAAGCAAACATATTGCGACAGTCCATACAAAGAACAAAAACACAGCAGAATATTCGTGAACATAACCTTAACAGGTTTTGAAATCAAAGTGACATGGTTAGATAAAACGAGTACCTGTAAATGGAGCAAGTGGCTCAAAGCTTAAAGAAAATAGGTGAAAACAGGTGTGAGATACTGCTTTGAACGATCACCGACGTTCTTTGTTTTGTATAGACTCCGCACTTCTTTGGTTATTTTCTTGCAAACTAAAAATTCGGTTTCATCATCAGAGGAGTTATGTAGGTAACTGGTAAATGTAAAGAAATTGATAACTCTGACGTTTCGAGCGATAATCAAGTTGTTTGAGTAAAGCTAGGGAACTCAAAAAATTGTGGGTTGTGTGGAATTTACCTAGTAGGGCCCCGTGAGTAGAGGAGCTTAGGGTTAGGGTCAGGAAAATCTTTGTTGATTGGTTAACTTATGGCCTGCATGGGCGTGTCACAAGTCCCCCTTTCTCCCCCGGCCCTCAACTTCGAACGTCTGCCACTTATTCTAGGGCTCAGTTAGTCTCCTTTGCAGCCGTCGGACTGGAGTCACGCAGGCTCCCCGCCCCCACGCGTTAGGGCTCAGTCCATACGAATACAAACATGAAACCAGTGTAACCGTATCTTTTTGAACCCCTCTCTCCAGAGGATTTTTCTTGCAGAGGAAGCCGGATATTTTCGAATTTAGTTAGGTATGTGGTTTCAGGCCGTCCGCTTCGTGTGACGGGTTTAAGCCTTTCATCACTCATCCTGAAAATCTTTTTTAGGTCTAAAGGAAGCCCTAGAAGAACGAAAAGTACTCATCGATGACCGTCTGAATTTCTGCATTGAAAGAAAGATCCCCCCGGTCCAAGATGCCGTGCATGAGGTCAAGGCCATGGCCGCTAAGCTGCGCGCACGCGCAGAAGCCGTTAAAAGTGAGATCAGTGCCACAGCGGAGGAATGCGTCAAACGAATCGTCAGCCGAAAGCAAGAAATACTGGCAAGGGTAAACTACTCAATTACAATGGTTCTATAAAGAGTTATTCTCAGGTTGTTTTTTCTCGGTTTTGGAGAATAAACAGTTAATTATGTTTATTGGGTTTTCAATTTCAAAACCACTTTTTTCTTTCTTTCCTCTCGATGTCCGGAACCCAATAAGGGACATTCCATTTGATATCCACACACCCCGTCCCCAAGAGGTGGGATTTTCTGTGGGGAGCCTCGAAAGTTACTGTTGAGGGAGTTGTTTCGGCACTTTTAATATCTGGATTATTTCTGAGGGTACGGAAAAAAAAAATCCCTTTTCTTGAAGGGCTAAAGAAAAGGGAGGAGTTTCTAAGAGGGTGGAGGATTGTGTCGCTATTTTTTTTCTTTTTTTTTTTTTTGGGGGGGGGGGTAAAAGTCGAGTTAACTCATTTATAGCGCGGCCGGGGGTGTTGAAATTAAATCGAATGGACATGATTACGTATGTTTTTTTTTGCTTCTTTCAGGTCGACAGCCTAGAACAAGAAAAAGAGGCCGTACTCCGCAACCAACAGGGCCAACTCGAGACTGAACTCTTTAAGTACACGAGCTCACGTGACTTTGTAGAGAACGTTCTTCTACATGGAAACGAGGTGGAAATTATCCAGCTTCGCCAGCTGATGCTTGATCGCTTGGAAGAGCTCAACGCTATAAAGTTGGATTACAAAGAACCGGAAGAAAACGATGTTGTAGATTACATACTCAACATGGAATCAGTAGAAAAAGTCGCCACAACGATGGGCCGCGTGACATCTAGTGTGACTTTTAGTGCTTTGTGTAACGCAAGGGGCCTCGGTATAAAGTCTGGAAAAGTAGGAGTGGAATCGTCCTTTGTAGTGGAATTGAAAGATCGCTTTGGAAATACATCAGTTGAAGGCGATCACTCTTGCCCGGTGCAAGTAAAAGTACAAGCTCCTGAGGGTTTCTTCGTCGGGAATAAAGTCACGAATAATGGAGATGGAAGCATGAGAGTGCGTTACACTCCTGTCACGCATGGCAAGCACCTTGTTCACGTGGCAGTCCGTGGGCGAGAGATTGAGGGAAGCCCTTTTACCGTTAACGTATTTGAAGGAATCGACTACCAAAAGGTTGGCCCGATATTCATGAAGATTGGTTCCCAGGGAACGAAGAGCGGCGAATTCAAGCAACCGTGCTCCGTAATAACAGACAAAGAGGGACATGTATACGTCACAGACTTTGTCAACTGCCGAGTTCAAAAATTTGACGCGCTTGGAAAACATCTCCTGGATTTTGGGTCTCGCGGAAGCAAAGATGGTCAGTTTCAGAATCCTTGTGGTATCTTGGTTGACGCTAATGGCATAATCATCGTCTCAGACTGGGATAATCATCGCGTGCAACTGTTTAGTCCTGAGGGAAAATTTATTGGGAAGTTTGGATCTAAAGGTAGGGTTCTTAGCGCCGGTTTTCTATCTAAGGTGGTCGGGACAGGACACCAAACAACGTGTTCCCCTCGCGCGCTGTATAGGAACTAATAAACAACGAACTGGCGCCTGCCAAGAACTGGCTAACACTTTCATATTTCAGCCAACTATTTGGCTCTCTCTCTTTTTGGGTGCAATCAAACCTCGTTGATACGGGCACTTAAGTGACCAACCCAAGGTTTTCACCTTACAGAGGTGTCTCAGTGTTATAGATAAACAAAAACTCACAACTAATCACTGGATTTATCTAACATTTTAGGATCCGAGGACGGAAAACTGAATCACCCTGCTGGTTTAGCTCTGAGCAAAGACGGCAACTTGCTGCTGGCCGATAAAGACAACCACAGAATACAACTCTTCAAGATGGATGGGACCCACATCATGTCGTATGGTTGTCATGGCAACGAAGACGGTCAACTCAACAGTCCGAACCACGTGACAGTGACAGACGATAACGGTTGCCTGGTAACCGATACTGAAAACAACCGAGTCGTAAAGTTTGACTGCAATGGGAAATTCGAATTCAGTTTTGGCGGGAAAGGTAGCGATAATGGCCAGCTCGACCGTCCCGGGGGAATAACTGTAGATCCCGAGGGATTCATCATAGTGAGTGATTTTCAGAACCACCGAATACAGATCTTCCAGCCGAATGGCAGATTTTACGCCGCGTTTGGCAGCGAAGGTGACTCAGATGGTGAATTCAAGTTTCCGGGGGGTGTGGCACTTACAAAGGATGGACGAGTCATTGTTGCTGACAGGCATAACCACAGAGTCCAGGTCTTCTAGACGGTCAATCGGCTTTTTCCGTCAAGGTGCCCTTTGAAGATCAGGAAGGAAAATCGAAAATGTCGCAAGAGAAGAGCAGCACATTTTCGGACTGGAACTGTAGACAGGATCATATAACAAAGAAAAGAGAGGCATGTAGGTAACCAGTGGTAGAGCATCTTATAGTATCCAAGGGTGCTCAGATTTTTTTCTTCCGAGCCACCTGTGTTACTGACTTAAATAACATCTTTCTCATAGTTGTTGTTGTTGTATAAGAAAGATAAAAAAGGGGTTTAGCATTACGCTATATGGCCTTCCGGCGTATAGGTCGCGTTCCCTGGTCGCGTTATTTTAAGCTCTGAAGGAGATATTTGTTAGTTTCCTTTTCCATTTTTTGTTTCTTTATCTCACTTTAATCTTTATTTTGGCCCGACTAGCCTTTTGGTTAACTGCGGACAAGTGAAAATTGTAAATTATTATAAAATACGTTGTTGTTGATGTTGGTATTAGTAGTACAGATAAATGTAAAGAAAAGTTTTATTTTACCAAATGACAAAATAAGATTTATATCTATTCACTGTGGCAACGCAACTTTTTTCGATTAACAAGTATTTTTTCAACATACCGTGACCATGATTCCATCATCAAGCAGACGAAAATCTAATGCACAGTTACGATGTTAACTAATATTGTTGACTACCTCATAAATATACATTTAATGGAATCGGAAATAGGTAGAATAGTGTTTTTTGAAATACGATAATGCAAAACCAAGAGGAAAATTATACATCAAGAACGTGCATTCCATTGATGCTAAAATATGCTGAGAATAGTAAATAGAAAAGTTGACATTGATAAATCAGTCTCTTTAGTTTTACTGCAATAGATATTGGTGCAATATGTATAAAAGGAAAAACACGGTAACCCCCTATAACAAGGCGTGGTGACGTCATGAGTCAAACGGTAAGACGACATCGGAATAAATTAAGGCGGAGATCAGTGTTTTCTTTATTCAGTTCTATATCAGTTTTTTGGATTTTTTTTGCTCACCAAAGCCTTCTGCTGAGAAAGGCAATTCAACCAACTGAGGAATTTCTCAAAACACTTCTATCCCGTTGTCTAATTCCGCGTGAAACTGAATCTAGCCGAAGAGCAGAGAAGTAAACACCTTCTCAAGATCCTAACATAGCCCGGTATTTTAAGCATCCGGATAAATATAATTAAATTTTCATCATATCGTGTTAATATGTAAAACGAAACCGATGTATTTCAATGTAAAAAACAATTAAAGATCACATCATTAACGGGCTTATATCATCCTTTTCACAGGAACTTTCGTGTGATCAAATAGTTTACATAATGGCGTCTCAAAACTACAAAATTATATTCATGCATAACAACAGGCTAAGCTCCACTCCAAACTGACCGAAGACAAGGCAGTTGGTTGTCCTGAGAATTTGGCAAAATATGAAACGATCTCGGGGGAATGGAATTTCGAGAAAACTCGAATAAACTTCCCCAATTCCCTATTCGTATAATCAAAGACGCAGACAGTGAGTGATAACCAGGGCCGAGTTGTTCAAAGCTGGGTTAAGATAACCCACGGTTTGTGCGAGATTTGAATTCAGATTTGAAAGCTTAAAAAGCATTTCAGTTTTAATTCTTTTTGTCTACAAGTTGATGATTGAAAGCTCTAAATATAACAGAGAAAATTATCCGAGAAAATGCTGTTAAACACAAGAAAAAGAAACCCGGGTTAAATTTAACCCCGGGTTAAGCGCTAATCGGCCTTCGAACAACTGGGCCCAGGGGTTTTGTAATATATTCACCTCAAATGAACAGAGGACACCGAGTCAAGTGAAAAATAATCAGGTCGTTTTAAATTCCTGTACCTCTGCAAACGAACTTCTTCCTCTTCTTCTTCTGAATCCAGTCTGTGTCAGTGGAACTTGCATTCTGGATTCCAATTGTTAGTAGGATTCCGGATTCCTTGAGCTTTATTCCGTATTCCAAAACCCAGGATTCCGGATTCCACAAGCAAACATTTCTGCAGTATATATGTAAGAGTACACTTGTGACCGAGTTTTAGTGCGCCGAGCAACAATTTAGAGTCGGTGTAGTCTTCTACTAGGTTTGTAGGGCTTTTCTCCTGTATGTGTTCTTTTATGTCGTTTTAGACTATAGCTGTCAATAAAGGCCTTGTAACACTCCTCACATGTGAATGGTTACTCTTAGGTGTGTGTACGCTTGTGAAGATCCAGGCGAGCTTTCTGTTTATAAGCCATGGAATAGCGGTCACACTTGAAAAGCTTTTCAATCACATGTGCTTTAAGATTGTGTTTATCCTTAGTCGATTTTCTGGATGCAATGAAAGAACACTTTTCGCAACGAAAGATGTTGCCATGGCCAGGGTACTTTCTGGTGTGAATAAACCGTGAACTTCTTGATTTAAAGGTTTTTGAGCAATGGTTGCACTTGTAACGGAGCTCCACGCGCGCGAAGCGGAGCACCATGGGTAAGAAAATTTGGTAATCTACCCATCCGAGAAAATTGGTAATCACGTGACCGTACACCCGACCGACCGTCCGTCCGCACCACAGGCATACCAATGTAAAATAACTCAACCAACAGTATGGCAACCCAAATGCAACTCGAGTTTTTTTTGGCGGGAAATCGCATAGCCACCCGCGTCTTGTGAAGAAGAGACAAATAAAAAGTCAATAAAGATGAAAACGGAAAGCGGAAATTTTTTCTGTATCCGTGTTGTCTAAAGTATTTTCAAAGCTTAGATTAATTGTCATGTCCACAAATTTGGAATATAGGGAAAAATAAAGTGGGCGACAGGCCAGCGAAACTCAACGAGAAAAAGAGAAAAACAAACCTGTCAAAAGTGAGGGAACACGCTGTCGCGAAGATTATTCTAGTTTATTCTTCCTTGCGTTGCGTCAGTTCCGTCTCGTGTGGTCTAAACATATTCTCAAAGGTGCAGAGATTTTAAAAGCTAATACATGTATATTCGCTCTGACGTAGTAACAACCATGCCTGACCTTGCTTGACCAGGCTTGGATTTCGAGACTTCAATGGCTTTTACACTACAGAAAAATTGGGTCCAGATCAGTAAAAAATAAATGGCATGGTAAGGTAACAGTAACTGTGGTAAAGACATACTGGAGGTTTCGCAAGGCCACAGGCGCCTATGGCCCTGTGAAAATTCCAGTATTTCTTTACTGTACTGCTTTTTTGACGCCTGGGGCCAGTTTCTCGAAATTCCCGGTAACTTTTCGGCCCCGAAACATAAAGAATAAGAGCGCGGTTCCTGGCTTGTTTTGTTAACTGACAGTTTTATCATGTTAGATGCGTGTAAACAACAACAGCTTTACGGGCCCTTTAATTATTGGGACTTTTGAGCAACGGGCCCCCGTCTGGGCCCGGTTTTTCTGTAGTGCCGAAACGCACCATTAAGCCGGCTACAAAAATGATTGAAATCTTATTTTAGTCTCGTAACAGCACTTACATAATGAGTTGTCCGAGCAGTGACCAGTTTCTGCTAATTAGCCTTGATGTTGAATATTTGCTTAGAGCCACCCATGCGGAAAAATACTCTTCTTCGGCTTAGAGTAATTAAAAGCGGGGCTCTCTCTCGCGCGAAGCGCGCTTCAGCGGAGCACCATGGCTAAGAGAATTTGGAAAATTTGGTGGTGACGTCAGCGTACTCCGTCCGTCCGTACACTCTTTGGCGTGATGGAAGGGAATCAGGTGTCAGCCCTTCGGGGGGAGGAGCTGATGTTATAAATCGTACAATGTATTTTTGTAACCCGCGTTTTTCTCAACGCGCAAGTAAATTCCTGAACCGATCACATATTACCCACACGAGCCACCTTACCTTTACATCTGTCTTTCTAATTCTGCGCCAGTCCGCAGAAGGTCCATTTGATTAAGTAGTGGAGCTCATCATGCTCATCAAGTTTAGGTTCCTTGCAGAGGGTTTCTTGCAAGATGTTTTTTGACGCGGACATTAGTTAAGAGCGACGGTCAGGAAATGTCGACCATTGAGTGGCAAGAGTTCAAAAATCGATATCCTTCATTTTTTGTCCATACATAGCTTTTAGCTAGATAAGTAATCTGAGGTAAGTCGTTCTCGCAAAAAGAATATCAGTTTTCATGATCGGAGTCTCAAAATGGCAGTATTTTCAACCGGAAATTTGCTAACATCAACTCTCCTTGCGTTCGCAAATAACGCCGCAAGGAGAAATTTGGACACTTTCCATCAATAGAACAACTCTTCCTCTTTTACTAGAAGGTATTTCCAAAGCAATGTCGAGACTGGTTGAACTAACATAATTCAAAAACGAAGAACAGATTTTTACGGTGACAAAAACTCTAATTCAGTAGTTGTTTTCTACGGCATTATTCTTCATGTGGTATAGCTCCAAATTTTCCCAGTCCTCGTTTATTCACACATTTAGACATTTATCTAAAACATACCTGAGAATTGGCTTGGGTTCCTGAAGGCAGCCTCCAAACGAAAGTATCGAAGTCCGGTAAATATAGTCAAGCGTGGGCAAAGTAACTTATGTGACGGCTCCAAGTTTCCTCGTTCGTAAAGTAACAAGACGAAATATCTTCCTGTTCTGTCATCCTTAGCGAATTACATTGTTCAGTCCTTATTTTTCGATAAAAAGTGAGTACCAGAGTACTAGCGCGTTTGATTTTTTTCTTCTTCAAAATACTGTCGGTATTGAAAATGTTCCTCTTTCAAGGATTGGGTTGCGTTACTACCGTGATTCCGTGACTGTCATTTTGACGGCTTCGTGTCTTCAAACGTAAGTTATGGCACGTGCAGTCGCGAACAGATTGTCACGCAGAGTTGCCGGCTGGTAGGGTTCACTGTTTGGAAATGGCTAAAATTGACCTAGTTTCACCTTTTTACCCCACTCTTTGATTGAAAAAAGCAACTTTGCAATGGGAAAACCTACAAAAAATACGAAAAACGAGCCTTTAGGCTGTAAATATCTACTTTTGTGCGTTTCGAAATTGAAAGTGTTTACACAATTACCGCCGGCCTACCATGAAAATTCCTGAACTTCGATGGTGTCTTACAGAGATTTCCTTCAATAATCCAAGCCATTTCCCAGGTATGTTTTAAATGAATGTCTCATTGTGTGATTTAAATGGCATTGAGAGAATTTGGAGTTATACCACGTGTTAAATATTGCCGTCGAAAATGAGTAATTATAACGAAATTAAGTTTTTGTTATCATGAAAACCTATCTCTCGTTTTTGAATTATTTCAGTACGACGAGCTTTGCTAATACCCTGAAAGCATCTTCTAGGGGAAGGAAAAGAATTTTTCTGATCATGGAAAGTGTCCAAATTTCTCCATGCGGATTCGTTTGCGAACGCGAGGAAAGTTGATGTTAGCGAATATATATCAGATTAAGAATTAGGGCAGTCTGAGACTCCGACATCGAAAACCGATTCTCTAATTTTTCTCACAGATAAAAGGCTTCTGGCGGGAACAATCTACATTAGGTTTCTTATCTACCTAAAAGCTGTCTATGAACAAAAAATGAAAGAAATTTATTTTTCAACTCTTGCCACGTTTTTTCCTGACCGTCGCTCTTAACTGATTATTGTGGTCAGCGGAGTGTCAAGAAGAGGACGCGCGCTATTCCTTAGCAACGATTGGCAACATCATTGGTAACAATCAAGAAGGAAAGCGTTCGACAGAGAGCGAACGCGACCGGGAAATTCTGCTTCTCAAAAATACTTTTTTCTTTTACTCCCGGGCGACAGTGAGTCTCACTGGTCATGACATCTGAACTTCGCAACGATCTCAACCTGACATCCACAGGAAAAGCGCATTATTACCAGTCTGCTCATGGCTTTCCACCGGACGGCTTTCGGGTGAGTTACAATCTTTGCTGAATCACTGTCGAGCACGATTTAGTGTCGCACCTCATTGCCTCTCTTTTCTGGTTGTTTGTATTATACAAAAATATCTCCAGATACCCTACTTTACAGTTTTAAGCTCCTTGCACGTAACTTTGCAGCTGTGATCATAAAAATGTACTCGATAGTATGTCGATAGTCTATCAGCGCGATTAGCTTTTGCTATTTCTGAAAGGGTGTGCTGTCTTTCTTTCACAATTATTTCCTTTTAACGACTCTACACTTTTGTATCAAGAGCACAATAAAGATTGTTGTCGTTGTTGTTGTTGTTCGGTCATGATGTTGCTGACATTGTACATCGTAATCTATGACATGTGCACTCAATAAAACCGAGAGTAATTAAGAATAGTCGATAAAAATATATTTTTCGTGGAAATAAATCGAGATTAAACTTGATGGAATCAGTGATGATTATTGAGTTGATTTTATTTTGGAGCTTGATTTTTTTCCACTTGTATTGAATAAGGGAAAACGTACTACTTAGAAATACACAGACTCATTATACTATTTAAATTTGCTTTATTTTTAGAGAACTGTTTATGATGTGTTGCCACCGGTGCTTGGAAATCCAGATTATGTAACTGACAAAGACTACTTCCAAACAACAACTGGTACGACTCACGACTATAAAGCTCATGGAGGAACACTGAGTAACATGCTGTTTAAAAAGGCCCCTGGATCATGGAAAGTTCATTATGTTGAGGACAATATTGGAAAGGTATACTATCAAACTTCCCTAATGCAGAAACAAAAGGGACAGATCTCAGAATGGGCATTCATTAATTCAGAGGTGGCCCTATAGAGATAACTTCCCTAATAAAGATACCAAAGGGATGGACCCCAGTGTCCACGTTGATATGTTGAGGTGTCTGTATTAATATATATCTTAAGAGGTGTCCATATTGTAGAGATATAATAGATAATAGGTGCTGTGTCATGAAATTTAGCCAAATTAATTAGACACCAGGATTAGGTACCCAACTGCCATGATGAAACTTAATAATTGCTTAAAACATTCACAATGGAGTTTTTGAAAAACATTTTAGCCTAAGCGTTTTTTCAATTAACATGTGTCCGTTGTTTTTCAATTCAAAATAATGCATATTTCATAGATGGGATTAGCCAGTGGTAGATTCAGATCTCCAAGTATAAAGTGGGGGGCTGATCTTTGAGATGTCCCTTAGATTAAAAATTGAAGAATTGGAAGGTGTGCCTTTATGATTAAATAATTTGTTGTGCAATTTTGCAATATGTTATTAATTAACAGCTGAGTGTCAAACCATGGAGAAGACCTCTAACCATGGGAAACCAGTGCAGTGAAATGAAGTCTCAGTACACAGGAAGACCAGGAGTAAATCTAGACACTGCTTACAATGCAGGCATACAACCATTCAACTTGGCTGATCACCACAGGGAGGGTAACAGTAAGGTATAAAAAGAAACTCTCCTTTTTTTGTTCCTCTGTATTGCATCACATAATTTCCTGGAAATTATCAAGCAACAGTTAGAGTGAATATTATAGTCTTGGTATTAGTGCAAGGCCCTCATGTTAGGGTAAAATTCCAACAAGCGACGTGGCCTTGAATATCAACGTAACAGCTGAAATACAGTTAAAACTGTGATAATATGGACATGAACGCATGGCTTAATTCTACTGAGAATACGGTATGTGAAAAATTGGTTTTGAAATTCAGACCACAGACATACCATAAATCCTCACGCTTCGGGGAGCTTATTTATTTCAAGCCCATTTGGGGCTTAATAGAGACTGGGGGCTTCTTTGATTTAGAAAAGACAATCCCTAGTCAGCTGTTTTATAAAATTTTATAAAATTTCATAAAATTTTGTAAATTTTTACATGATTTTATGAAATATTTTTTACAAACTTCACACTTTTATAAAATTATATTTTATTTGATAAAACTTTATATGTTTTTATAAAACAAAATTCACAATAGTTCATGCAGTTATAAAATTGTATATACTTTTATAAAATTTTAGACCAAGTACAACTCTGTATTTATGTACAATAATATAATTGCTCAAATGTCACGAAACTACTTGACAGTTTAATTTTGGCACCGCTTGTTTGAAGTTTTCCCAGGTTTTGTTTGGTTAAAATTGCACTCTGAGGTGATTTTAATTCTAACAAGTGACACATTTACCAGTAAAAGTGTACTGTACATTAATTGCTTAAAAAAACAAAGAATATTCTGGTTTTAAGGAGAACTTGCAGTTTTTAGCCGTGAATGATATTTATCTTTATATCAATGTCAGTGAAACAATTCAACCACGAGTGGATACCTTCTGTTAATACAACCACTAATAATGCCATGCACTAATTCAATTTCCTTATGAAAGAGTTGACTGTATATATAACATAAATTTAGAAAGTTCCAGTATATTGTGTAAATCTTATAAATTATTTGGCACAGAAGCCCTGAATTTCTGATGCACAGGAGTGAGTTTTTCATGGCCTAAGATGGGATATTTTCAATATTGGATGAAAACCTGTGAAGATACTTTGAAAAATATGTGAAATACCCTGTCACAAGAAAACACCCTGTGAAAAAACCTGTGAATTTTGCACAACCTAAATTTTGAGGAATATTTCAAAATTTAGGACCCTGTGAAAAAACCTGTGACTCAAATAAGCCTGTGAAAATTACCCTGTCAAAAAACCTATGACAAAGTTTGAGAAAAGTGCCTAAAAACACCTCTGAAAACCCTGTGAAAAAAGCTTGGAACAAATTTTGAGAAAATTGCTTAAGAAATACCTCTGGAAAACTATATGAAAACACCTGTGAACAAAAATGAAATGAAATGACATGAAATGAAAAAAATGAAATCGATAACGAAAATTTACAAAGACACACTGCAAATAATGAAGGAATAAATAATGTGCTGTACTTATATAATCATTTAAGATGTCTGTAAATAAAACACATGCATTAAGTAAAATAAAAAGCTGGATGATTTGGTGCAAGACGTTATTTTGTTTTGCTACTCAGAGTTTCATGCTGCCCAAAGTAACGGTTACAGTCACCGGTATGGAGAAATAATGTAGTATTATGTAGTAGGCTGTGTCATAACAATAAGCAGTTGGGAAAAAGGACACCAGAAAAAAATTCGGCCTCGCATTGGATGGGAACCCATAACCCTGGGAGATCTTTTTTCTTTGGTAGTTCATGAATAAATAATCTTTTCAGTGATGAATAAATGAAAGTGATTGTTTGAAAATCATACATTTGAACTGAATAAGTAGTTGCAGAAAAGAAAACCTGCTGTCAAGTTGTGAACGTAACTGCAATAATCTTTTACTAAATGGCCAGTATGGGGAGATGGACCGACTTGTGTGACACCATTGTTTGGGAATAAAACATGTTTGGCTATATAAAAGACCTGTTTGAAACAGGAAACGAAAAAAAAGGGGAGGACACCAGTCCTGCTATGAAAAATGGTGGCCATAAGTAGAGGTTTGACTGTATATCAAGTAGCAATTCCCCTTAAGTCCTTTATTATTGTTTTCATAGGATGAGCATGTCAATCTGACAGGGGAAAGGGATTTCAGACAGATTCTTGCCCAAACTACCCCCACCCTCCCACGAAGTACACATAAATAAAAAAATTAATATTGATGTATAAGTTTTATAATTCAGTCCCTCTAATTCTATCAATAGCAATGTCAGTGTACGTTTTGGTTTGCAGCCACCTGAACAGGTGGCCATTATTGGTGGTCAAAACAATAAATATGTATTTTTTCACAGAATTTGTTTGAAAGTAGAAGAGAAGACTGGGAAAATTGGGCTTCAAGTAGTAGTATACTTTTTGCAAGGGAGGCCAAGTTCCCAAGATAAATGATGTATTAGTTCGTAGGTTTGATCACTGATAGGATAGTTTTGGTCAAGATGCTAAAAAAATAGGTTTAAACCTAAAGCTAGTGAAAATATGGAACTCTGAAATGTTGTTAATATATGTTAATTGTTCATTTGAAAAGTATTTGTCTGTTTCTGATTGGCTAAAATCCCCCAGATAATTCTCCACAACCAGCTACCATTGATTAGTTTAGGAAGACATAATACCAATACCAGGACAGTTAATATCCATATTGTTCTGATACTAATCGAGGAAAAGGCCAACAGTAGGAGCACAGTAATTCAACTGCTTGAGTGGAGATGGTGAAAATGGTGGAGATTCAGTAATTCAACTGCTTGGGTGGAGATGGTGAAAATGGTGGAGATTCAGTCTTAAATTTTAAGAAGAAAAAATAACTACAATAGAGCCCCAGTAACTCAAACTCTGAAGGGAAACGAAAAACAGTTTTGAGTTAGCAAGGAGTTCAAGTTATGGGGTAAATTTCAGTGAAATTAACAAAGTTAAGGGAAGGGAAATTTGGTTCAAGTTAGCAAGACATTTGAGTTATCTGAGGTTCTACTGTAAACTGGGCCTAACATAAATTAAGGAATGAAGGGTGACAGCTGCTATTTGAAGAATATCTGCTATCGCAACTAAACATCCACTGACAAAAAAACATGCAACTACACGTATTATATTATGAACATGGAGGCAGCAACTTACATACGTTTTAAACTTGGAAATAATTTTGAATGAATATTATGTTAAAACATTATTGCCGATTTGTCTTTAGTGAGAATTATGCAGCTATCAAGGGGGCTCGATCCGGATTATTCTTCGCAAAATAGTGACTCCAAAGTGAATGCAAATAGAATATGTGAAACTCAATATAACTTTCACTCTTCAAGAACCAAATAATCAAATAATAACTTAAAAGAAGGAAGCTTCTTAGTCAGAGAAAAACAAAACTTAAGCCTTTTTATAAGCTACTGTAAAAGTCCAGATTTATATGCTTATCTGTTTTTCCTAATTCAAGTGGCTCAATCTCCGGCCCGCTGTAAGAGTAAGTTCTTTCACTGGATGACCCTATCATAAGCAGCATATTCAAGCAGGTCTGTCCACCCTAACTGAAGACCTGGTAAAGAATGATGAGAATTTATTAGATTTGAAAGTGTGTTTAATTTGTACAGGAAAAGCTCTCAGATTTGGAATTTATAAAGAAGCATTCGCTCAAGGTTCGTGCATGCATTAAAGCATCAATCAAAGAAAGCAAGGAAAGTTGTGTTGTGTAATCAAGATGACCGCACTGAAATACAGCTGTAAGTACTCACCTTACAGTACTTTTTTTTCTTCCATTCGGCATATTGAGCTTCTGCTTCTGTATAACGACAGGTAAAAATAATCATAAACGGTTCTACTGACTTCACTTGCCAACTCAAAGCGATGCACGAAGCAGTTTCCTTTAATATTCTGACCTCAGTTTAGATCTCATGCTTGTCCCTCACATATTTTTTCATCAATTTAACCAGTCAAACAAAAAGAATATGCACGAAGATCGACGATCTAGCTCGATCGGAACGTCCAGAAACCAAGATGGCCGCACTCGGAAGGGACGGTGAAAGACTGGATCCTAGAACCCGTGCTTTGACGGTTTTGGCGCGAATTTCTGAACGCGGCTGCCAAACTCTCTCTTCATTCGTTCAATCACAACTAAGATAAAGTTGTATTAGCTAAACAGCGAACAAGAACAAGAGATATTTTTCCCCCCACATCGATTTGTAATTCTTTCTTCTATGGAGTTTTCATTTTTAAAATAATCAAAGACTGGCCGAAAAGGTAAGTGCTTTCCTTTCCTATAATTTGGATGAATGGGGTTCTCTTTTTTTATAACATTTTTTGACCCTTCTTACGAGGTTTAGACAGTGGTTTAGAAAGGAACTAGAATTTAAGCTTATTCCCCCGATCTGCTTCTTCTTATTTTTCTACTATAAACTGGTTGTACGCTCATTTGAAATTGAGCTGTTAAATTGTTTTAGACAACAACTATGCAGCAAAGTTCTTGTAATGAACACTTCAGTTTATGCTCGATAATCATTTTTTATTAATACTGTCCTACATGTTCTGGATTCCATGCGGTTGATTCTGGATTTCAGCCCTTGAGCTGTATTTTTTGGATTCTAAGGCCAAGGATTCGGGATTCCCTTACATGGGGCGAGTTTTTAATAACCCAGTGATTTCACTGTTTTGGATGCATACAGCCCTCATGGTTTTGAAAGTTAATCCTTAAACACCTTTCCATCTAATAGTTACAGTATTTCTTACAGCTGAGAACTTTTCTTTTCTTTTTTAGCTTGTAACAAGCACCTTTCATCTGTGCTCTGTATCAGATTTTTATTTCACATTGTTGCAAAACTAAATTAAACTACTTTTTTTGTCACCTACCTGACTATGAAAACTCATCAACTAATGAAGTTAAATACGTTTTATGAACAGTAATAAAGACTTCTGTAAAAATGCCTGTGCCTTGATGGCCAAGCTGAATCAAGCACTCAATATATAGCATTCATATCATGCCAGTTCATCTGACAAAAAGATTGTGGTTATTTGAAGACTACTGAATGTGAGTATCTCTACATTTTTTTAAGTTAAGAAGACCATCATCAATCAGGATCCAATTTATTTTGTCTAGTTTTATATGAGATATTAGCTAAAAAAGTAATTAGACATATTTATGCTGTATTAGCTAACAAAATAATAAGATGTATTTACCTGTGTTCCTGTTTCTTTACGAGTAAGTTTGGAAGGGATTTGAATCGGATCAGAAATGGCAAACATTGCTAGCAAGATGAATTGCCAGTATCAAATGGTTGTTTGCCTTCATAAATAGGATGCAATGTCAGTTACATATCAAGTTCCCAATATTGTTAACTGTTAACTCTCCTTGGTAAAAAGGAGAAGAGAGAAAAGAGACAATTATTAAGGGGATTAAATAAGGGCAATTTTATTTTGAGGCATATAATTCCTTTGTTACTAGACAAAATCGGCTAGTATCCCACACCTCTATTGATTATTTAAAGGTTCAATTATACGGTGTTGTTTTGATGCCCATTTTTTGCTTAGAATTGTGTTGTTTTTAGAGGCTACTTTTCATCCAGTCTGTGACTACACTTGACTTGGCCAGAAGTAAGTTGTCGTATTAAACATGTGCTTTGTCAGGATGGTTCTATGTTCTCATGACAGTCACTTTTGTTTGGATTTAACACCTTTAGATGTGTTGGAAGTAGAAGAACAGACCATACCACGTGGAATGCATGAGATACATTTTACCACTTATGTTGTGTTGCCCTGTAGTAAATTTTAATGTTTTAGACCAATTTTTCACTGATGAAAAAGGAAAAATGTCCAATAATACTGTGACAAGGATCGCTTGGTAAAAATCTCTTGGTAAAAATATGCAATGATTCTGATAATAATTTCCGTTCTCTTATATCTGGACACTGCATTTGAGGAAAATATCCGAAAAAATATAATTCCACTTCCAAGTGATTTTAAAACAACATTGCAATTACCATGCATGAAAAGGAGATTAATTCAAGTCAAGACTGCCTGAGATTGCAGTCAAAGGCTGCCGGTTCCAGTTTCCATGCGCATTTCCATGAATAGGACTGGTCAAGTCAACTGGAGTCACATATCGTACAAGCACCACTACAGTCGAGTTTCATCTCTTGTCTCTTTTCTCTTCTCGTGGCTGTTAAATTGAAACCCCTTAGCCAAGCAGACGTTTAATATTGGCAATGTTAACCATCTCCTGATCTGATTCAAATTCCTTCTAATTTAAAACACACAGGATCACTGTTAGCTAAATACATACTATTTTATTAGGTAATACAGCTTAAATGCATGCGTTGAGGTTCTATTTGACTTGGGAACAGAAATCAGACTTCAACATTGTATTTTTTCTGGGGGGCGGGAGGGGGGGAGGAGGCAACATACAGCTACCAGGTAAACTCCTCCCATTTCAGAGTTTTTTCCACAGGTTCTGACCATGAAAAAAGGCCTGTTCACAGGTTTTGAGATTTTCCACCCCGTGAAAAACACTGTGAAAGTTTAGAGGTTTTTCACACCGGGTCTTTCGCAGGTATTTTCACAGGTTAAAAACTCACAGGGTTTTTCACAGGGCTTTGCATAGGTTCTGACCCTGTGAAAAATGGCCTGTTCACCGAGTCTCAATGGTTTCACACCCTGTGAAAAAGGTGTGAAAACCATGTGAGAAAACATGTGGAATTGAACAGTTCACATGTTTTTTCACAGTTTTATTCACAGGTCTTTCATAGCATTTTCACATGTTTTTATCCAATAGTGATATAAAAAATTGTTATAAGGTGTAAATAAGCCATTTTTTCCCTCTTGCCATTGAATCAGTTAGAAAATTCTGAGTGTCTTTAAAGTTAAATGTTTTGCAATGAAACTAATGTTAATTTTTTTATGAATTGTGAGCGACTTGAACTGACCGAATGATGTTAACTTAAATTGCTTAGTGTTGTATATTAATAACCAAAGTATTTTGGAAGAAAAATGGAAATAAACGTCAGTCGGTCTGTTCCTGTCAATACTACTGTGACAATGTCACATTTGCACACTTCTGAAAAATTAAACTGCAGCATCATTGGGCGATTCCAGAAAATATCCATACCATACCACGGACGGCTTTTAGGATTTCCGAAGGGGAGGGGGGGTTCACGATTATGGAATTCTGAGGGCATGGGGGGTATTTACGATTGGAAGTCCGAAGGCATGGGGTAACTCCACAGGTGGGATTTCTGGAGTAGAAAGTGTAGAGTGAGTTCCTTGAAAACGCTATTGTTGTGGACTTTTGTAGTTCGTAAATAAACCACGAACGTATGACCGCGGAAGCAGAAGACAAGCATCGATAGATCAGACACGTGTTTACGCTCATAACTTATAGAAGTGAACAGTAAAATGTGGGTTTCACATTAACCTTGATGAATTTCTTGTCACATGAAAAAAAAATGGAATATGTATCTTACTGCTTGCAAGTTTCTTGTTACTCCCATCCGATGAACAGTGAAAAAACTCGCACCAGTCCCTGGCTTCCAAGGACGCCTGTCAGATTAGAACACTTTTCGTGCACACTACATGACGTATAAAAGGACGTAACACGCCTCGACGGTATATTTGACCACCGAAAGATTTTAACAGTCTGAATTTGAGCTATTTTGCTTTGTAAACGTCAAAACAGCACAAGAAAACAAAGAGGAGTAAAATTGCCGTTAGTGGTGTTTATTTTTATTGCCAAATTCGGACCTAAAAAGGAGTTTGCACAGCCTGTCTACTAGCGGTAGGTTAGAGTCTGAAAGCTTGTCGCCTGGCGCCGCTAGATCACAGCCTTGAGGAGGCATAAATTCATGTTCGTTTGTTCATATAGGCGTTGCTAAGTTGAAAATGTACGTCCAAAAAAACGGAAATTCTGAAGGGGAGGGGGGGTTCACGATTATGGAATTCTGAGGGCATGGGGGGGGTAACGCATTTTGGAATTTCCGAAGGCACGGCGGGGATAAAACATGGAAGCCGTCCGTGGTTGGGTATGGATATTTTCTGGAATTGCCCATTTGAAACTGCTCTGTCTCAAAGCAAGGTTTTATATTTTTTTATATTATTTTATAAAAGAAAATTTAGCAACAACAATTTTTGTCTTTTCATAAAATTTTACAATTTTCATATAATTTTGATACCTTTTATAAAATTTTATACAATTTTACATGGGAAAACGTTATAAAAATGTATAAAATTTTATAAAAATTGCAATACAGAATTGCCATTCGGTTTTATAAAATTTTACAAAACTTTTTATCAAAATTTTATAAAATTTTATAAAACAGCTGACTAGGGATGGTATTTGTTCTCCATAAAGAACTAGTATACAAATGGAAAAGCTTAAGTACAAAAAGGTTGGAGGTCGTTCAGCCAAGGATCAGAGTCAAATCCGAACTTCCAGTTGGTAAATAAACCATCCTGGATCAGTCCACACAAATTTTTGAAATCGTGATTGATTGATACAGTCTATCATTTATGAGTGAAGAATCTTTAGACGGCCGCGGGAAGGGAGGCTTAATAGCAAGGGGGTATTATTAACTTTCTTCCCCAGAAAAGGGAGGGAGGACTTTTTAGAGGGAGGTGGCTTATTTCAGAGGGAGTGCTTATAATAGAGGATTTATGGTATGCACTAATTCCCCTCTCCTCTCCTAGTGTGTGGTCACCATACTAGAAATTTTTTCTTACGGTGACATTGCCATATATTATTTACAGGACCTTGTACCATCAACAATCAACAGAGGTATTGCAGGTCAAAAGTTTTATCCCAGGGATAGAGGGGTGTTGACCTACCACATGGACCCTTATTTGACCACAACACAAAAGGACCACCGAGCATTCACCAAGTAAGTTACAGTACTGTATCTGATTCCATGAGGCTTGTGTAGTGGGAAATCACCCTGAAATAGCATTAACCTGGCATTGGAAAAATGTTTAATTAAAGGTAAAAATCATTACTTGTTTAATTAACACTTGAATTGAATTATTTTAAGAATTATGTGATTTCCTCAAATAAGTGTGAGATTGCACCATCTGCCCTTCCTTAGTAGGAAATATCAGTATTTGATTTTCAACACCTGCAGAAATTATTGCCAATGAGCAAGCCGAGCGAAGACAGTCGACTTGCGAGGCGGCCAGCTTAAAATTCTCGATCGTGCTGTGAAAAGTCTATAGTGTTATATTTCATGTGTAGTTTCACGTGGCTTTTGATGACCTTTGTTGTAAACAAACCTTCAAAGTTCGGACATAGTTCTCTGCCACAATACTGTACTTGCAATTGTACGAACTACAACTCGCTATTTCAAGTTCGCGCTAACCTATAAATGTTATTTCCCTTTTGCTGTTTGAAACTCAACAAGTTTAAGGTTCAAAAATGTCTAAGCAGAAGAATAAGAGCGATTTTAAGGCCAAGAGCGTGGCAGAAATGTAGGAACGAGGAGTGCTTGTAGTGGAAATTCTCGCCTCAGCAGCTGAAATGGTTTTATAATTGGAACTAAAACCGGTGACGTAGGCAAACTCTTTTTCTTTCGTTGGCACTTAGCGAAAGCTACAACTAGTAATAATGTACACTTCTGGACCATTGTTATGAAATTGCAGTGAATATGCACAGCTTTATGTTGTAATTTAATTACATTTAAAGCTTGTGCATATCCTACAGCTATTTCAATGACTACATAACATTACCTTAAAAATCTGAGCCAGTTAGACTGAACTGCAGTAGGCAGACCTCAAGGCAGTATTAAATTTCATAAAACTTTTCTCAACACAGAGATGAAGCAATTTTTTTGGTAACAAATTACTGGCAACGTAAATTAGTAATATCAGGTTTTCAAAGAAATAACAGCTTAAATCTCATATGATGCTATATCTTGTCTCGTAAAATTGCACCATTGCGTAAATATATCAAAGCCCTTTGCTTAAGTTGGATTAGTATCGTCTTTTGATTTTCCACATAAACATGCACGTAACTTTTTTGGACCAATTTGTTTTGAATTTGCTGTGAATATGCACAGCTGTATTGGAGTAATTTAAATTTAACTTCCTGGCATGTGTATATTTGCAGCCGTAATTTCAATAAATAAATTACATAAAGTTACATATTAAAGCTGACCCAATTAGACTGAACTGTGGTATGCATGTAATTTCATAAAAATTTACTCAACACAGACATGAAGCAATTTATTCTTCTGTAAAAATCACAAAGTTAAACTTTTTGTGCCATGTGGTACTGGTAACGTAAAGCAATATCAGGTTTACAAAGAAATAACAGCTACCCACTCAGCCGTGCTGTCTTGTCATGTTGTGTCACCCATTATAAAATATCCAAAAACAATTCTAGCCTGTGTAGATGGGGGAATTGTTTTTGCCTGTGTTAGAGTTTTGGAGACGAAGCCACCATTTTCGTGACTATTCTAGTTTAGGTGAGAAATTCCAAAGTTCCACCCAATGCGCAGTCACCACTTCGTAGCTCCTCTGGCAAAACTTTGCACATGCTAACAATCCCAATGGCTATGCTGGCTACTTTGATTCAAACAGCTGTCATGTCAGTGGCGGATCTAGGGGAGGGGCCAAATATTTTTAGACCAAACTGAGGCCCGGAGGGCCAAAAAAGTTTTTTTTGAGGCATCCCCTTATCTCAGGGCCTGGATGACAACTCCCCCTCCCCCCTATCTGAATGTCTGGATCTGCCACTGCATGTAGTACATCTTTGTATATGCCACCCCTTGGAACTTCCATTTGTGATGGAGAATAGACTGGACGATGACACACCCCTAAAATTTGACATTCTTTGGCAGCTGGGGTAGAGTGGAGTGTGGAGGCGGGGGGCAGGGGCATAGTTACTCTAAAACACTTGAAAGGGAAATATGCCATTAATGCAAGATGTGTAAGATTTGTGTTTGCTTTTCATCAGCTGAGCACAATTATTGTATGCTAATTAACCAACTATCTCAAGAAGATGATGAATTTCTCTCCTGCTGAAATATTAACAAAGTACTGACAGTTGAACCTCCATTATTCAAGCGGCCACCTATTAAGCGGCCCCCCTCTATTAAGCGGCCAGTAATCAACGTCCCGAAAATTAGGGAGCTTAAGTAACGGCGATGGCAACGAGAACGGTAAAAAGCAGTGGGTTTAGATTGGCAAAACAACAACTTTGCACGTGCATCACGCTTTTTTGTACATTTCTTTGCCGTCACTGTACGACTACTACATGAAACTGCCTAATTTCACGTTTCAACGACTTTCTTTTTCTTTTCCTGAACTTTGATACAGTCTTTTGGGATTCAACTCCAGAAAAATTTGCCAACATTTGACGAATTGAACGAGTTGGAATAACCGCGATAAAGTTTGATCGGAGCGCGAATTCACTTTTTACGTGACGTTTTCGTAGCCGTCGCCGCCGTTGTTGCTTACGCTCCCTATTTAAAGAAAGGAGTGGTAACTCTACTAATCGGCCACCTCTTAGCCTCCCACGCAGACGTTTTTAGAGGATCGTCACGCGTTCCTGCCCCACTAACTTTTAGTGGGGCAGGAACGCGTGACGAACCCCTAAGAACGTCTGCGTGGGAGGCTAGCCACCCCTATCCTCAAGTAGCCTGCGTAGCAGGCGCTTGGAAGTAGTGGGCGAAAGAGAGAACGGACGCGCGCGAGGGACTTCTCTCGCGCGCATTTTTTCTTGTGCCCACTACTTCCAAGCGCCTGCTACGCAGGCTAATCCTCAAGCGGCCTCGGGCTTCCGCCACACCTTTTGGTCGTCCCAGCGAGAGTTTTTCTATTATTTTTACCTCTATTAATGGGCCATCAAGCGACTGATACTCTTAATTTAGCTTTAGCTTATTATCAAGGAAAATAGAGTCCGTGATAGTAGGTGAAGACTGATTTTGGACCAGTAATGCTGCTCCTGTCGCGTGTTTGTTTCATTGATGAAAATAAATTGATGTTTCTGCTAAGGATTATGATGCTAATTTCAGTCTGACGAACCTCCATATAGCGGCCAACCTCCATATATAAAGCAGCCACTTGCCGGTACCCCCAGGGTGGCCGCTTAATGAAGGCTCAACTCTATTTTATTAGACCCTCAAATGTTTGTTTCCATTTTTAAACAGGCACGAATTAGGACGTTATCCTTCAAAGGATTATGCGACTTACTGGGAGTGCGAAGAGTACACAAAAGCGTGGGGCCATGGCTCCAAGGAGAACCCACTACCCCCAAATTCTGTTCCTCGAGAAAAAGGACCCATGAGGGACCGTATCTGGTTTAGAGAACCCACTACCATTCCTAGGTTACCTAAGTCACTCAGTCCTGTACCTAATAAGTAAGTGTACACATTGTACGTTGTGTAATAATGCTATGGTTGCACCATTTTGATGAAGGGTGTTCTTTGGTATTACAGCAAGTCCTAAGGTTTTATACTCTCTTTAGACTTACCAACTTAAAAATACGTTTCTGTCTTTTTTGTATACATCAGAGTTGCTTGTTGTCTCTGTTCTTCATTTCATGGGCAAAAGTTATTTCCAGTTTAGTTTGCCAAGATTTGCTGCCCACCACTGTAATTTTTCTACGTGTGGTTTACATCAGTTTGTCCACACCAACCCCTGTTTTTCCAACCCGCGGTAAAGGGTTCTTGTTTGAGAGTCGTTTTTGCTTTTAACGTTTTCGATTATTTCCCACTTTGACCAACGCGGGGTATACGCCACTTGCACATCTTCCATAATGCACCTTATTTGCTTCCCAAAATTTTGCACAACCTTTGTTTTTTCATTTCTCCTGGGTATTACAGCCGTCCTAAGAAAAATTGAAAACAATGCTTATGCAAAAGTTTTTGGTGCAAATAAGGTGCATTATAGGAAATGTGCAAGTAGCTTATCGGCAACTGTGATTTTAGATTCGGAATCAGGCGCTTATAGCAAAGAGAAGAGAGGAAGAGGGTGACTCCTGTTACCCCCGTTGTAGGCTACATCGCAGTTTCAGCGTATCTTGGTCTTCACGCTAAAACGTATCAGACCTGTAAATATTCTGCCACATCGCCGTTTTTAGTGTCGTCACGCAACGCTCCTTCTTTTTTATATATATTTATCCATTGAAAGGCGTTTTCGAAGAGATTTTGATCTGAAAGTTAGGTGTAAGTTTTGTCACTTGTGTAAGTGGGGCCTCTATAAGAGTGTTTTCTGCACATTTATAAACAAAAACTGGAGATTGCATGAAAGTTTCCTTGTTACATAGAGTTACAATAAACGAAAATGAGTGACGTAAGTGGAGCGGTACGAAAGAACGAAAAATGAAGGACGGAGACAACTATATAATTGCTCTACCACTGACCGCATTACTGCCAGCAGTCGCTGCGTTTAACAAGAAGTTACTCGACCTCGCGCTCGCCATGACTATTGTCTCTTGTTGTTTTTTGTTCTTTCCGGGAACTATAAAGGATTGGAACCTAATCCCTTCTACGATTAGAACAGGAAGTCATTCAGTCTTTCTTAATTACCTTAACTATAATTTTAAAGTTTTTCGCAACATTTTTCTTTTTTCTATTTTTGTTCTTATTTATCTCTTTTCGATGCAAAAGCGTTAAAGAGTATGCCTAGAAGTAGAAAGTGTGGCTCCAGTTGGGCCTTATTAGCTATCATACGTGGACAAAAGAACAAACTCTTCCCCTCTTTTCTTTTGAAGAAAATGCAAGGGAGAGCTTTAATCACTGCTGAATTCTCAGTTTGATCATAAATGCCAGCCCTAACACACATTGTTTTCGTTTTAGGGGAATGAAAACGCTGATGACCGAGTCGTACACGATGCCACTCGAAAGAAAACGATGGGAATTGTTTAGCTTGAACGTACCGAAACCATGGCATGCTCCTCTTGAAAGTAAGAGCCTTTCATTATGAACTGCGGCCTATTTGGCATAAAATTTCAATGCGCGAGCGAAAGGAGACACACGCGCGTCCGCTGAGTCTCCTCGCGAGAGGCGATCTCCACGGGCACACATTTGCGAGAAAAGCTCCCTTTGCCCACCTCGCATAGTAATTTTCTTCACTCTTTTCTCAGTCTCTCAGACAAACGTAAACGAGTTATATTGAGTTGTGTTTCTAAATAAACATAGTCTCGACTTCAAGATGCATCGCCGTGTTCGCGCACCTTTAAATCCCGATTTACGTAGGCTAACATGTTTAAAATCAGTATAAAGGACACCTGTTTCTGTACTTGATAAGCAACTGAATTTTTTTCCCCTTTTTTGCTCTCTTTGTGTAGGTCCCGGTCCAGGAGAGACATTCCGAGTACCCCGGATGTACAACACCGAATACCAGTTCTACGGCAGCGAAAAGCCTGTCACAGTTTGACTGAACATAAAGGCTAGTAGAAACGCGCGATATTGTTGTCTTTTTACGTGTACATCTTACGATGTCGAAAGGGAACATCAGTACCTTTTTTTCGTTTTAAAAAAATCTATCCGAATATAATTTTTTTCTGGCTGGTGGACAGAAAGTTGTGACGAGGATGGTTGGTGTTGGGGGGGGAGGGGGCAACGGGGGGGGCAGTGTTGGAGGCGACGGAAAATCAATATTGAAAAATCTTGATACTTTCACTTGATATATTTTATTAATTATTGATTTTCTGTAATTAACAATCCGTACGCCAAAAAAAACCCTTAAGATTAGGAAATAGTACCAAAAAAGAGCACAAAAAGTGAAAATACTGCTGTTTGTTTTTGTATATGGTACACATCGAATCGAAAGAAATACAACTAGGATTTGGTCTATATAACGGACATCTATTGAACGTGAGAGTGTTATTAATAAGAGTGGGTATTACATCTTAAAGATGTGCGCTTTTCTCTCAATGCTTTCAACATTTCCCACTGTCCAAGAGTTTTTCGTTTTTCTTTTTTCACGAAGCAAAAAAAGGTGCTGTATCATTGCTGTAAATAATAATTGAGAAAAAAAAATAAAGTTTTCGTTTATTTATTAATAACAGACTGAAATTATGGATGCTTGTTGATTGGTCTTCAACTCTTGCACCTTCCTGCAGCATGTGGTCGTATATACGGTGGAAACCCGCTCCACGGACACCCACTTAATACCGTCACCCATGTACAACGGACAGTTTCATTTGTCCCGAAGAAATGCTCATATCTTTTCTCTGAAATTAACCCGCTTAACACTGGTTATCTGCGCACTATTTATGACTGAATATCTTACCTGCGAAAACCTAAAAGAAAGACTGAAAGTTGCCATATAACATTTAGCCCATCTGGCTGAGTCGCAATGAATGCGTTATGGCAAAGTTAACTAAGGTCACGGATTCCATTGTCGTATTTTAAGGAAAGAATTTTAGTCTGAGACTGACAGATGATCGCGAGTTTTCTCCAGAATAAACTTGTTACAGTTACAGAGAAGAAATGAAGCGACGTTTTTCCGTAAAAATATCATTGTGTTTTAGTCTAAACAGTTAGATATGTTCCGTGGCATTTTTTTTCTGAGAACCCCCTTAATACGGACACTTTTTCCTATCTTCGTTAAAAACACTGAGTAATAACAAAAGGAAGCAGATTGACAGTCGGAACAAAGCCTGAATTATAAATTAGTGGTTTATTCAAAGGTATAATTAATGTATTTGCAATTACATTTACATGTACTTTCATTTGATAAACTGATTTACCCTTTCAACTTCACGTGACACTACACATGCATAATTTTGTGTTATTTTCAAAACTAAAACGAAGTGAATTGTATATACCGGTTTGACGCTCAAAAGTATGCACCGACGACAAATTTGTGAAATAGAATTTGCGTTTTATGTACACTGTTTTACAGTCTGCTTTATTGAACGGCTTATTGACCACGGTATACTTGTCTGCGAGCAAGCTCTCTATTTTTTATGGTGGCGAGTAACGTGAGCTATACGAGACCCTTCTCTCACGCATGCCACTAGTGCGTGGTTTTTTACTGCGAGCTTTCCTGCAGGCAACTGTATACGAGCCATTGCTACGAACAATCCCGTGAAAAAGCGGCCATTAATTCACTTTTTCTTTCTTTATCCTTTTTTCTTCCTCTTGTTCTTCTTCTTTAAAAAATGAAATTTAATATGAAAATGTATCGATATACTTCCACTCGCGCTTAAATAACATAAATATGAGAATGACTGTATATGAAACGATTGCAGCCAGGAAATAATCAGTGTTGATAAATGAATGGAGGTAGACATGATCGAGATGATACTTGCGTAAGGATTGGCTAACAGCCTAGCTTGAAAGGTAGAGTTTCAGTCGTTGCCCTTACAGCGGAGGGGTTTTCCTCCTCTTCGTGTTTCCGCCACTTAAATTCAAGTTCTGAAATTATGTCCTTCAGGGGCGGATCTAGGGGGAGGGAGCAGGGGGTGCGCACCCCCCCCCCCCGAGATGACTTGCGGTTTTGTAATACAACTGGTATTCTGCAAAAAAAAGAACTATGTGGTTTATTGGTGTTGAAGTAGAGCAAGAGACGAGTGCACCCCCTCCTAAAAAAAACCCGTGGATCCGCCCCTGTCCTTCCAAAAAAAATACTTTTAAATGTTTTCGACGATAGAGCCTGAAGACAGAAACTATAGCCCTCGAAGGAAAGAAAACCAGCACCTTAGATTACATCTATAGCTCACAGTCATCTTGACCTAAAACTTGGCTTTCACGCCATAAATTATTTACAATTCAATTATAACGTGGTCTTGATAAAAACGTTGGTGACTTTAAAATAAGTATCGAAAAGACAAACTTGTTATAAACTTGATTGAGCTGATTGAGTAAAAGTATAAAATGAAATAATCAGATAAAGGCATTTAAGATAAGTTTGGACGACTAATGAAAGTTCCGAAAAAGTAGTAGTTATAAAAAGAATATTTAAAAGACTTGGATCCGGTTATTTCCACTATCCACTACAACAATATTTCCCTCCTTAGTTACTGCTATGCCACAGGGGTTCTTGAAACAGCCTTCATCTTCACCAAAGGCGCCAAAGGTGTTCACAAACTCGCCATTAGAATTGAACACTTGTATCCTGTGATTGTGATAATCACAGACCAAGATGTTGTCCTCGTCGTCACAGGCTACTCCCTCAGGGCCATCGAATAATCCGTTCTGGGATCCTTCAAAAAAGAAATATGTTCTGTCTTAAAAGAAGATAGAAAGAGAAGGTATTTTTCTTTTGAATAATTTTCCTGATTTATTTTCGCAATCGAGGTCAAATAAAAAGCTTTGATTGCTCAGAGGCCAAGAAACGGGACTAACATTATCGCTGCTGATTGGTTGAACATCTAGTGATCACGTGCAAGGCCCTGTTGCACCATGCTCGTTTTGGCGGGAAACTTGGCTGGCTCTTGGCGAAAATTTGAACAAGATTTGCTCGCAGCTTTGCGTTGGAGTACGTTTGTACGATGAAGATATATAAGGATAGAATACTCGAATAATACCTAAAAGGGACCTCGTAAAGATAAATGACGGTTACTTAGGCTTACAGCAAGTGAATATTTGTCTACATGGAGAAATTAGGCAACCAGCCTTGTGCGAGTTTGAAGATTACCGGGGAAATTCATTCACAGCGATTAAATGGCTTCCTGCATTCAGATGAGTATTCGTTTTGTTACGAGACCGAACGACACAAAAAAGAACCCTGTAGTCCTGGAAGAAAGCAGCGGTATCGCCAGGCTTGCGTACTAGTTTGGTGTGAAGACCTGTCGTCAGGTCGTTGCATTTTATGCAGACGGCGAAATGTCACAACATCACAAGTCATAGAAAGGTAAGCGTAACATTTGCTTAAAATTGCGTAACGTGTGTTTTTGAGAACTAACGTTTCGACTCTGTAGTAAGCTGAACAACTAAGTAACAGTCGGTCATTTTACTCAAACTACACCTCAGCACTGACTTTGCTTTTCTTTTAATTGACATAAAACTTTGCACGCGCGACATTCATTAACTTGCCAACGCTCATTTAAAACCTGCATAATAGGGCATTCACGTGCAAAATTGCTTCTTTTTTACTTTTTGTTATTTTTAAGTTCTCATCTATAATCTCCACTTGATTCAAAAGTTAAAATAAATGATTTTGCCTAGAAGAAACGCTTGGTTAGTATATGTATATTCAAAACGAAAAACAATATTAACAGTTACGACTTGCGGATATTACGACTTACAAATATTTCGATACGTGTTCTTCCTTTTAAGAAATTGGCGTGTTTATAAAGCTTAGTTTCAACAATATGTAAGAGTTGATTTAGCAAATTAAGGAGGATGAGTTTTGCTGACTGAACAGTCAACTCAGAAGACAGCGGTTGCTCGATGAAAGGGAATCAGGGAAAAGTTTGCTTGTGCGATCCGGAATCCTGAGCTTTGGAATCTGGAATACAACCGAAGGAATCCGGAATCCCACTGAAGACTGGAATCCAGAATCCAAGTTTCACAGAAAAAGACTGGAATCAAGTAGCTGGAACCCGGAATCCACGGCGTGGAATCCAGAATCGAAGATTCTATTGGATTACCTTACAAGGGGCGACAAGTGACCTTTTGAAGAAGGGACCACCTTAAACTGAAATGACAAAAAATTCATTGTGTACGTATAAGAGAAAAATTTAAGCCAATCACCAAATACTTTCATTCTCACGATTGTTCAAAATTGTCAGAGGACTGCAACACTCGCAAAAACCATGTTCACTAGTCCAGTACCTTTTGGTAATTTGGTAAGGAAGCTTCTTTATAGGGGTGGTTGACTCTTTTTATATACGGAATTACCAATCATCGTCATTAAGGTTACCATCATCATCACCATATTTATTGTTGTTAAGCCCTACCTTCCTTTCCAAAGTCTGACAGACATTTTCCTTCCATATCAAATACTTGAATACGATCATTGACACAGTCTGCCACAATGATTCTTCCCCTCTGATTCACGCTTACGTGATGTGGGTATATGAATTGTCCCTTAGAAAAGCCTTGGGATCCAAATTGTCGAACCGGCTCCCCATTCATGTTAAACAGTTGCACCCGGTGATTGTCTTGCTCCGAAACTATCACCAGTTCTCCGATGCATTCCACACCGCACGGATGATTCATGAGGCCTGGTCGTTCAACTCCGAAGCTACCAAACTTCCTGATAAAGCGACCGTCCTCGTTGAAAACTTGTACTCGGTGATTGTTGAAGTCAGCGACCATTATGTGCCCATTAGAAGCTTTAGCTACTCCTTTGGGGTTTCTAAACTGGCCTTTTTCCGCCCCCTCTGCACCAAACTTGAACATAAATGTTCCTTCAAAGTCAAAAACCTGTACTCGATGGTTGTTGCAGTCTGTTATAATAAGATGATGATTTTCTTCGTCAATAGCTACGTCCCAAGGCATGTTAAATTCACCTAGAAAGAAAGATAATCAGATATGAAAACCATTTAAGGTCCTTAATACTAAGGGACTGTGCAATAATTATCAGGAGGGGGGGGGGCATTACATAAAATTGCTGCCAAGATAGGGGGGGGCTCAAAGTAAAATCACTCATTTG